ATTACTTCAAAAACAAGGCAATTCATAACTATATAAAATTGAGAAATTCTACACTATTAATATCAAGCTAATTCTATTGTTTAAACCATTCTAATTAATAATAAATAATTATAAAGTTAATATTTGTATATACTAATAATACACATATAAATTCTTTAATATTTGTAAGTGGGTATTTTATGACATTTAANCTTTAATATTTGTAAGTGGGTATTTTATGACATTTAATTTAACTAGATACATTATTAAATCTAATGAACAAAAACAAAACAATTTTATTTTATTTATTATTTACCTGGCAAGAATCCTCCACGCCTCTTCCGGCACAAATCATATTATTAGTAATTCTCTGCGGTCGGTATTTCGTCGCTCTACACTGTGCCAAAGACAAGATAGGTACTTGAACTTCCTGCACAATATTGGCTAGGGAACCACCTTCGGATACTCGTCCCCAACCAACTACTGTTCCCATTTTTCCGGATGGTTCTCGAGCTGTAATTTATTACAAAAATTTAATTTTCATTAATATTCTAACAAACATCTATAATTATAAAACTATATAAACTTGATATTCATCACTTACTAGACGCGGGTAAGCATATGGGACGAATTGCTTTGGAAAATGGTACTGACTTTCGTAACCTTAATAAGGCAACGTCATGATTATACGAATTTACATCAAAATTTCGATGTCGAACTATAGATGCTACCATCCTAGTAATTGTTTCACCATCAGATGTTGTGCTTTGATCATGATCACCTAATATTACACGAATTCTTGATTTCTTTAGCCTAGAAATAAATTACTTATCAGTTCTTAACAGTATTACGCTCAAAACTGACCAAAGTAGATTAAAATATTATTAAATATTGTTCAACATATACTGAAACTATTAAAAATTAAAATTTTATGATACACGCATTCGAAAAAACATTAACCATACAAGTTACATTGGATACAAAAACATATACAACAGTTGTTAAATAAATAAAATACAACTCTAAACTTTCTCCTATAAGTTATTAGGATACTAATAATTTTTTTTTTTTGTTACACACACACGTTTTTACTGTTGAAAATATAATAAAAGTAATTAAAACACAATCAAATAACTAATAAAGAGACTAAAATATATACTAAGCAGTTAATTTTTACATCGTAATATGAGCATTTTCGTAAAAATTACATAAAACAAGAATTCAAATTGATTATTTAATTTTGATTTCCATTACCAAAATCATAAAACTTTTAATGTGTTTAACTAGACAAAAGGGCATAATTTCATTTCATAGTAAAATATTTTGTTTATTGAAATTCTCAAGAGATATTATTAACATCAAATCCATTTTTTTTTCAATCTATACATTTTGAATTATGGAAATCTCATTATGGGTGTGTGATATTCCAAGGTATCAATTTTACCAGTGTAAAATTTTTAATAGATTGTAGTATTATTTAGAATATTTATAGATATGTCCATGTATTCTGTTTTATGCTGATATTTTAAACTCATTGCAGAGTTTATTTTTGAAGCTATGGAAACGAGTCCAAAATTATAACTATAGTGTCGGCTATACTAAGTATAGTAAATAAATTCAAGCAGAAAACAATTCTTGTTTTCTGCTTGAATTTATTTTTGGTAATCAGTTGATAATGTCAATATGATTATTTTTTGTTATTGTAGGTACAATGCCTTGCTATTTTTGATATAGAATGTCTGCTTGGCATTAATGTTTTTGTACGTGTTCAGATTTACTGGTGGTTTTCGACATTTTTTATATTTTAATCTTCCTTTTCTGCACCGACAATTTTCAGATATATCGAATATGGCTTTTTCGCATATTATGTTACTTGCTTTATAATTTTATCTTCTTTTTTCTTAATATATAATTGGTCACCAAGTTTTGCTAATTTTCCATATTTTTTGTCTGTTTTAATTTTCTAAAAAATTTTCAGTTTCTATTGTTTTTTTGTAAATTCGTTTTGTATAATGAGCTTCTTCATTCAAAATATTGACCTTGTATAATTAAATTTTGAGTGAACTTTTTATGGCTGCTAGTGTTAAGCTACATCGGGTTTTTCCACCCTTTGATAGTCTACGTTTTTTTAAGTTGTTTTATTTTAGTATGGATATTTACAACTACACTACACAAAAGCAGTATAATTATAACATTTTTATCGCTTCAAAGATAAACTCTGCAACGAATCCAATATATCAGCATAAAACTGAAAACATGGACATATCTGTAAATATTCTAAATAATACTCCAATCTATTCAAAGTTTTACACTGATAAAACACTGAAAATTTTATAATCTATTAATAGAAAGTAAACTAATTTATCTGTCATAATATTTATATCGTTTTTAAATATGTCTTACTATTTACATAAATGTCAATTTGATTATTATTAACAATGCTATTCTATTATTATAATCATATAATGTTTATTTAATCCAATAAAATAAAATTTATAAAAAGCGCTGATTACAATGTCCTTAGATTGGAGGCATTTTACTGATATATAAACCACTGAAATCGGTTCAATTTTTATCAAATCCTACCTAGCAAAATTTTTTATTAGCCGTGTTGTCTTGGTCCATTACGAGTGAATCATTTATTTAAAATTATTGCTTTAAGAAAATCCTGAATATTAATAAAAAAAATATTATTGAAATAAATATCAAACGTGTGTGCTTATTAACGATACACGTAAAAAAAATACGAGTTTCACATTTTTGGATGCAGAGACTTTTCATTAAGTTTAGAGCACTCACAGCGAAGTTCAAATTAAGTGTTTTCAATTATCCTAAATTATTAGTATAAAGAATCTGAGTAAGGAATAATAAAGCAATAGATTAAATTCAGTTATAAATTAATTTCTAAACTTATTTGACCAATTAATACCTTATTGATAAGTATTTCGACTGGATATCAGAGAGGAGACCATCGTTACTCCAAGAATACCTCGGTATCTGATAATTTATCATTATAATTTAATAAAGTAGAACCATTAATTGTATCTTTTCATATCTACTCGTCTTTATTATTCTGAACGCGATTGAAACACTTTCATAAGTATTGACCCATTCCTTTATCATCGTGATCATTACANCATAAGTATTGACCCATTCCTTTATCATCGTGATCATTACAGCGCAAATAAGAGGAACACAAAAAAAATAACAAATCAAATTATATAAATTTAAACTACAATTAAAATCGGCAATTCATACATGTAGAGTGTTCAGAAGGTAAAGAAACGGGTTTCTATTGGTCTCATTGTTTGTAACAATTGACCTGTTTCCTTACTTTTTGAACATTCTGTATATTTTTACTTCTTCATTTTAAATCGACATGACTTTTTCAAAAATGAATAAATTGTTTAAAAATATTTTTCGGACACAACTTTAGGTATGTCTGTTTTATGTGACATATATTTTTTTTAATCCCTTTCATTCGTACTGAACATATTATCAACGAACGGAGATTAAAATAATCGAACTTTCTATATTCACACTTAAACGACATAATACTTTGAAAAATATGTAACGAAACGTTACCCTAATACTACACGTAAATTCGGAGTAATGTTCTTAAAATGAAAAATCCGTCGTTAATAGTACTTAACAATACAAGAATTGACTGATGACTCAATTCTAGCAAATTACATTAGCCATTTACAGTTACTTTAATTATTTTATATTGGAATATCATGCTACGTTTTAATGTTTTGAATGCTTAGAACGTAGTTTGAAATAACTTGGCGTTGTACTTTTAACATTTTAAGTACTATTCTTACTACGAGTTAAAGAAACTGTTAATCGGAATTATAATTAAAATGAAATGTTCGAAATTCTTATAAAAGCGAAGGCTGTACTCGCTTAAAAGACTTATGTAATTAAACCGCTCGTTACAGTATCGTATAGTAAAATCGAATAGAAAATCATTGAACAAATAGTATCACTGATTTTTTACTTACTTCCGCACACAATGAGCAGCTGTAAGTATGTAATCGCTATTGATGAGCGATGCTCCGCAATGAAAATGGCCATCATAAACAAGCCTAGCCACCCAAGGGTATCTATTCACTCCAGTGGGTCGTCCGCCTACTATGCGGATTTCTTGATTAGATACTCCACAATCTAAAGAAACAAACGTATTATTATTGTAAGGACGAGCACCCATTAGTATTATAATATAGTTATGATAGTATGTATGTCCTGATTTCACTTTAACAAGCGAAACCCACAGGCGTCAAATAATTCTACATAATTATATGCGTTGTTTTTGAAAATACTCTCAAGGTTATATCGAGACATCCGTTCTTTCTTACAGATTACCCGTATAAGTTACATTGGCAAATATCGGATAGCTAATGTAATCACAATTTTATTATAGACAACAAAAATAGAAAATTAACCATTAAGTATACGTTATCTTGAGTCAGTGGTTTCTACTGGAGAAAATAGAAAAATCTACAGTAAAAAAAAAGTAGTAATAATTGTGCGTTAGTGTCTTATATGAAATTATTCATATTTTTACTAATATAATTCGTTAAATTATATTTTACTTTACCTAAAATAAATTACAATTTTATCCAATATTTGATAATTTATAAAAATATTTCCGAGCAAAATCAAAAACATTATGAAATACGCGTATAAAATAATCAAACTCAAGTAACCAGATCAAAAATTAAGTCTAAATATCATTACGCGTCTCATATAAAGGTCAAAGTATATTTTATCAATATGGCATATGTTTTGAAACATTAAGACACACGTGTACTTCAAAAGCCAAATATTTGATTACAATATTTATTTACATATAAGTAAAGGTAACATTGAAGGTTCTATAGTTATTAATTACTTAAACATTGTTTTTACTTACTGCATGTGCAATTTTCGATCGTTAATTTTTCTTCCGGTTCATAACTAACTGATCCAAAAAGATCATCAAAGAATATCCTCTTATCACGGTGACTGGTCGACGAGGAAGAATTGACCGGTGGTGGAAGAATTCCGGTGTCGTAATGATCATTCTGTAATACGCGAAACCGAAAAAAGCGAGTAAAAAATAACGGTCAAACTAAGTAATAGTTGTAGTTAAATACGTCATATCATCGGCATTGGTATTTCTTTCTATTCATATCAATCAATTGCCACTTTTACTAGCAGAAAGTAAACAGTGACCATCGTCTATTCAAAGACAGACATGTTATAAAATCTGACGAGGCAAATAATTGAACGAGAAAGATAAAATTTAAACGCAATTTTAATAATGATGACCATAGAAGGAATGTCATGAGCGATTTCTCACCACCTGAGAAATCGTTCAATTTATTTTTTATACATCACTCAATTATTAATAATTAATTAGATTATAAAAGTGTCTAGACACTTAGCTTGACATAATTTATTTTTAAATACATTAAATTTCCAAAAATTAAGTTATCGTAATATTTAAATGTAGAAAATACTAGTTAACTTATTAAACAAATATAAGTATATTGTATAAATAAAAATCATTTACTTAAATTTTTTTTAACTTGAAGAAATTTTTATAGTTTAAGTTTAATTTATATCTGCATAACTAATGGGGTTCAAAGAGGAATTAATTTACGATTACATGGTATTAAAGCTACTCGCAAGACAAAATATCGATTCGAAGACAATTTTTTTACAGATTTGTCTTAAAAGCGAATGAAAATTGAACTCTTTTCTCAATTATGATAATCCACAATTGAGTTGAGAAAAAAACCTTATGATTCTAAAAACAAGTAAAACTGCGTGAAAAAAGTTTCTCTGCCGTTACAAATGCAAGTTAAATTGCAAAATAAATTAGGCTCTGAGCTTTAGAATCCGTTACTACAATTTGTAGTAGAATTCCTATGGTTGTCATAGGAATTTATTTAGGCACTTTAACTACCATACTCACCGTGACTGGTTTCGCATGTTTGTCGATTGTCACCAAGGGAGTGACCACCGTGATATACGTGAAGCAGAAAAGGACGTGCAGCAGCTGCAGCTGCGGCGGCCGCATCGTCGACAGTCGCGCACCATAAACTCGCGTGGGACGTCGTAATGTTCACCTCGCTCAACTTATCGACATAAACAATTGTATATGGTTCGAAACGGTGATGAGTTGGTGACGGATGAAATAGCGACGGAAGCGACAATTGTTACGGAGACTGTGGTGCGACTGCGGTGGAAGAAAGTGCACCCGCCAGCAGACCGGACGCAAGTAAAAGTGTATACCGGTAGCGGACGGTGGCGGCACGCGGCCGCCACTACTCTCACTTTTTTCTTGTTGGACACTCCGGTGACCTTGACGGACGCCCCGCCATAACACGTTCCGATTTTCTTTCTAAACACATTTACACACACAACGTATAGGTATCGTTTTATAGAAATCTATGACCACTTACTTGCTGGACACTTCCCTTTCTGCAATTTTATATGCAAACCGCACATCCGATCAGTGCAAACATTACTGTCATGTAAAAATTCAAATACACTAATGTGTTTTAATGAGGGCTTTTGACCGAAACAGTACTTACACGGTAATAACTTTCTTATTTAATTAAATAACATAAATCTGTTTAAAGTTTTTTTAACTTATAATAACAGTAATTTTACTAAAAAGTTTAATGCAGCTCAAATGTAATTTATTAAAAAACTTTAGTCTGTTAAAAACCAAGATCTTGATTACACGAAGATAAAATAAGATAACTTTTGTTGGATTGATAATGAGCTATTGTAAAATATTCATTTCTAAAGAAACTTTTTTGTAGACGTTTGATAATAAAGGGTACAATTATTCAGATTTTAATTAAAATCTGATTTTTAATTCAGTAATAATTTTTAAGTAAAAGTAACTTATTTATAACCTTAGCAAGATAACCTTTATTTTTAAACTCGCTGTTTAATTTAACTAAAAAGAAAGTTATTGTTTTGAAAATTAATCTACACATCAACAAACGATGCAAAATTACCAAAATTGTGTTATAAATAATAACATTTATATCTTAAAAATCTGATTACGAAGTTGAAAACTACAAAGAAAAAATTACATCTTTTAATAACAATGTTATATAATAATAATAATATGTATTAATTAAAATATTATACTGAAAACTTGCTGGCGAGAAAATATTTTCGCACCTGGACTTTAAAGCCAAATCACATAGTTTTTTCAATACTGAACTTTGTATTTTTAATTTTTATACATTACAACTCAAATCTCGAATCATAGTAGCCCATGCGGAGATTTAGTAAACATTTTAAGGGCCTGAATGATTCAGCTAAGTGGATCAAAGGATTACATAAAATAGCAGTACAAATAAATTTCATTTTAGGGGAAGTTATTAAAATTTCTGGACTCTAAATCCTTTAAACCCTTAAATCCTCCTACAATCTTAACTATTTGGAGGAGGAGCAAACATCTTTGATCGTGTAAGTGTAAAAGTCCGTTTAAAATTTTAATGATTCACAAACACAATTGTAACCTTAAAAAAAAAAATCTAAATAATATTTTAAATTATATTAGAATCACTTATTTTTTTCATGAACAATTGACACATAAACCTGCAATTCTATTGTATTAATTTAATATCAATTATAACTACCGAAAAAAAATTATTGTTTATTATTGAACACTAAAATTTACTTTCTTAACATAAGTTATTTTTCCATGTTACATTATTTCAACTGCCTTATCTATACACTAATTTAAAATTGAGTATTCTACTTTTTGGTTATTATTTGTTAATAAAGTACTTGATTTTCATAAATATTTTTTAGTTATTACCTACATACTTAAAACTTGTTTCTATAGTAGAAAAAAAACAATGTAACATAAAACGCTTAACATAACACTATCATATGTTTAGAAAGTATTATGAGATTTTTCAAGATCTTTAACTACATGACTTTTTTTTTTATATTTACACTTGTATAATACAAGTAAAACATTAAAATACAATACATAAAATATTAAATATAAAAAAATAAATATATTTCAAACAATTTTTTCGTTTTATTAATTAAAACCGTTTTTTAAATTAAAAATAATTTTTTTTAATACAACAGGAAACAAATGTATAATTATATACATCATTGCGCAACATAACTACTAGTTTATGAAATATATTCCTTTAAGTTTAGATGACAATAATTTTTTAAAATACATATTAATACAATTTTCGATTTCTCTTTAATAATTTTCAAAGTATCTGTTAATGATAAGTTTTGCACGTAGTCAAGTAAAAAATGTATATGACCACAAGATTAGTACACATTTTTTTTTATAGTTTCTCATTTACCTATCTTCATATTAGAATAATTATAAACCTTTTTTAATGTATTTTTTTTCAACGAATTCCATTCTGCTGTAAAGTTATTATCACTGAAAGATATTAGTTTTAACAAAATAACTTTTAAGGTTTACAATATTTTTGTAAATTTTTTATTTTATTTTAAGGTTTAAGACTTTTTACAAACAGAAATTTCACATAATTAAGTATATTCGTTTAAATATAAGCTTAAAATTTATAATTTAATTGGTTGGGTTAGGCTAATTTATCCTGATGCAATAAAGATATGAAATCAAAACATATAAGTAAGGAGAAAATAATAAGCAGTGTTTTAAAGATCTAAAAGTGGAATCTAAAAAATTAAAACAGTACAGTTACATTGTAAAAGCGGCTTGAAACAGGTTATTCGAAATGGATAGACTATTCAAATATGATATATCTGTTAGTAGAAATAAAAGTGTGCTATTTTCTTTATAATAAATTATAAAATATAAAAGTGTGTTACTAAAAACTACAATAGATTGTAAACAACGTAAACAAAAATTTTATTACTAGCCCAGTTAAAATAAAAATAAACGAAATAATTCCTTTTTATTTGATATAATTTCTAGAAAAAAATATGTTGTTATAAATTAGAAAAAAAACTTGAAAATTGTTTCTATCTGATTATATTATATTTTATTGATGTCTTTTATAGTCTGATAAGATTAAGAGCGTTCAAATTAAGTAGCACTAGTAATTATTTTTATAAAAATTACAATTTAAAAACGATTTAACTGTAATAATTATATTCAAAACTGGTTATTGATTATTTTACTTTTTTAAAAAATAAAATTTTCAATTATCTAATCTTAATTTTAAACATTTTTATAAATAAAGTTTTCTTTTTTCCAAAATTTCTATTCAAATAAAAATTTAAAATACCCAATGCATTCAAATTGCGTAAAATAAATTTAAACATTAATTTTTAATTTCTTATACAGTTACTATAACAGTTATAGTAATTTTTATAAAGAATAGTTACTATTCTATATAAAATTTTCGGAGAAAAATTTTTTTTTATATTAACGGATATAATTATAATAAGAAAGTAAATGAAGAACCAGTTTTGACGGAGGGTCTGCAATAGTCACTCTGCAAAATATAACTGTGTACCTACAAATACCACTGTTATTCATTAATGAGTATATCTATCAGATTAAGTTGTCATGTAATCATATAGATATAGTCAACGAAAAGATCAAAGAAATTGTAAATGAAAAAATGAAAGATAAATAGGAAAAAAAAGAGGGGTCAATATTAATGAAGTAAATAAATTGATATTACATATTTAGTTACTGATATTGGGAATTATATAGTCAAAATATTTTTTTGAACAATTCTAATTGTTAAGTTGTGTTGTTATTTTATTACATTTTTTTGGTTAATCTATAAATGTTTAAACAAAAAACTGAAAATCCCAACCCAACTGAATATATACAACTTTAAATCATTGAATATAAAATAACAAGTGTACTAATAAAAATGTAGAGCGTCCTTTTTTTAATTAATTATTATATACCTACTTGTAAAAAATCAATAATTTTTTTTGTAGAATTATAGTTTGAAGAAAAATAGTAAGTGTCCCGAAAATGTTGTTTAATAACATAAAAACAACAATTTTTAATGGAAAGTAAGATTTAAAATATTTTTAAATCCAACACAATGTGTAACATTTTCTTTTTAGTACACCAATATTTTCTGTAAAAATAATTGGAAAAAAGTTATTTGTTTAATAATTTTTATTCTAATGCATTAAGATTGTTAAAAAATGTTAGTGGAAAACTTTATTTAGAGTTATTTTTCATTTTAAATTTGTTTCGAAAAATTAGTAACACACGTCGGTACTAATTTTTGTATTCAATGATAATTGTACTACTATAAGTAGGCAGTCCACAATAAGACTATTTTATGATTTTTTTATTTTATTTTGTATTTTATAATTGAAATAACTTTATAAAAATATTAATTAAATATATAATTTTTATCAATATACTAGAGACAATGTCATTTGATATATATGTTTCATGAAAATTTAAATATAACCTTAATTACAGAAGCGGATTGAACGTAAAAACATATACATACAAAAAATTATTATTGTTTTTAAATTTTTGAAATGCTCTGAAACATCTGCGGTCTTAAATTAATACATATAATGCAAAATTTAAATACTATTGCCACCAGAGCAAAATTTAATTTGAGAAAAACAATTGAGTTCAGAGTTTTACAAACAAAGCAATAATCTTCTATAGATAGTACCTTATGGTGCTAAATATATTTTTATTTTTTATAAGTAGAACTTCTTAGTTCTAATAAAATTTAGTAAACATTGTATACCTTGACAACAATGAAAATAACAATATCAACATCATACAGTCTAATATTTAATTTTAAAAATGACTCATTTACAAAAAGAAGAAAAGTTTATCTAGTGACATATTCTCGATGAAAGGGGAAGTGTTTACTCCTAAACGATAATACTCTATATTTTGAAAAAATTTAGACCATGTGATCCAAAAACTTTTAACAAAAATGTAAGAAAACATGACAATGAACATAGAATCAGAAATTGAATTTTCAACAAATATTAAAATAATTTTAAGGTTATTAAAATAATTTTAAGGTTATTAAAATATTTTTTTGAAAATGGTACTTGATATTCTTAAGTTGTAAATCAATTACCCTGTAAAAAAGGTAATTGATTTATTACTGAGCACTAAATTTCTCCTAAAATAATAATACTTTTGAAATTTNCTGTAAAAAAGGTAATTGATTTATTACTGAGCACTAAATTTCTCCTAAAATAATAATACTTTTGAAATTTTTATACTTTTTATCTTGTTTAGTATTATTAATTTCTCGATTTTGTAGTAATTAAATATTTTTTTTAAGTTTATA